AGAGAGAGAGAGAGAGGGAAGGAGTAAAAAGGAAGAGAGAAAAAAAATCAAAATTCAAGTGAAAAAAATAAAATGGAATGGAAATTAAAAGAAAAAATCGAATTTTTCTAATTTTTGAAACATTTTTAAAACTCTTCCATTTCATAAATATCTTCATATCATATAAAATAAGTTAAGGCTAAGAAATTTATGTATAATTTTTTCAAATTTCATCTAAAAAATAAAACATTTTAAAGAAGAAAATGATAAAAAAAAAGGAAGAGATTCAACTTACCCAAGTTCTTCGTACTCGTAAAATTTTGAATGGCATTTTAAAGAAATTGTCCGCTAATAATAACAAATAACAAATACGCAGCACTGATTATTTCTGATTATCACTTGATGATAATTATATTCCACCTTGATAATTTTCTATAAGGAAAATAAAAATTTATCATTTCATCGTTCGAATCCTTTCAATCATCGTAATGCTTATCAAATTTTAATTATCAGAATGATATCAAAATGATAATTGTCAATGGTAAATATTTTTTAATATTTCCGTTCATTACACTCTACTATTATTCCTATTTTTGAAAAATTATTTCTTTCCGTTTAAATGATTAATTATTATTCTGGAAAAATTCTGCTAAATGATTTCATTCCGTTCATGATCAATTAATGATCATTAATTAGATTTCAAATCATACTAATGACACAGGAATCAAATGATGGAAAAGGTTAAGGGGAAAGTTGACAAAAAAAAAAAATTGACCTAATAGTGAAAGTAATTTATCCTTTAATGGTTATCACCAATTCATATATTCGAAATAAAACGAACAAACAGTTAAGCAATTTTGAAGTGGTTTAGAAGATTTTTAGTTGCAGTTTGACACAATTGTAATTTTACACATTTAAAGAAATGTGAAAGAAAAATTTTTGCTAAAAAAAAAAAAGACGTATATTGTTTTATTTTTTAGTTACTATCATTTATCAGTGATCAATGATTAGTGGTCATTTTTATCCCTTATCATTCCTTATTATAAGAAAGAAAACGGAAAATATCTTAAAATATATGGAAATATTTTTAATTATATAATACTATATTAAGGTATTCATAAATAAATATTTTCAAATTTTGTATATGTGTACATTTGAAAAAATATAAGTAACCTGTCTGAAATGATCAATAAGTATTCTACGCAAAGATTAAGATGAAAAAAATTTATAGATCGATAAAACAGTAAAATTATATTTAATGAAATTAATTTAAAACTAAGTATCATAAAATTGTAAGTATCTAATTCATCTTTTTTTTTTTACCAGAAATGATTTACCAAAAATGATCGATTAGTTTACAATCCATGGATTCATTAAGATAATAGTTATCGAGTTGTATAATATATTCTCAACTTTACAATTAATTAATTCACTACATCTATTAATCTTTTAGATGATATAATTCAGGATTGAGGATTTAATTAATTAATTTTATGATCAATCATTATGACTCTCAAATTATTATCATACAAGGAAGAAAATAATTGATTATTTGTGATTATTTTTTCAACAAAGATTAAATTAATTATGCAAATGTTCGCAGCTTTTTCACTGGGAACTGTTTAAAATTGCATTTTCTAATTTTTGATTTAAAGTTTTGATACTTATATGCCTTTATATTTTACAGTATTTAGTTATTGCTTGGGATTTAATCAAAATTAAAAACCCAACCGGACTATAAAACTTTTCTAAAGTGGAGTTTACCAGAAATGATCGATTAGTTTACGATCCATTCATTCACTAAGATAATAGTTACCGACGTTTAAACTTCCCGAATTGCATTTTACCAATAAATAAGCGATACATTCCTTTCTTGATTTACTTGAAATTTCCGGAAATATATTTTACTATAGATTGGTAGTTACCGAATTCTTATCATTTTCATACCTCGATGAAATATGCTCAAGTTAATTTAAGTAAGAAAGATAAATTATCGTAATATACGTTGATATCAGCTACTCCTTTTTCTTTTCTTATTTTTTCCTACCCAGTAAAAACAAGAAAAAAGGCAATTAAGTTCCAATCACTCAGTTTTTATCGTAATATACGTTGATAAAATTATGACTTCATCCTAATCTTTCACCAAAATTATCAGTTACTCCTTTTTTTTCTTATTTTTTCCTAGCCAATAAAAACAAGAAAAAAGCCAATTAAATTCCAATCACTCAGTTTTTTGTCATTAGTAAAGGAGAAAAATTCAATCCTTTCAGCTTTTATACGACTTAAATAACATAAAAAATATGTGGTGTGTTAAAATTGCACAAATTAAATAAATATTTAATTAATGAATTAAGTCACTCAATTTTGGTATTTTTCAACTTTTTGATAATTTGCTTAAAATATACATCTATAAATGAAATTGTTCAATCTTCCTCTTCCAAACATTAGTCGATTGAATAATTATTAATATATTAAAAAAGAATATATGGTAAAAGAATAGCATGAGTGATTAATTTTGTTTGATAAGAGATATTGCTAAACGCATCCATCAATCTCTATCATTTGTTAATATTCCTTCCACACTACCAAAAGTGAACTTATCGTTTTCTTAGCTTGCCGGATGCTTAAAAAGCTACTCATTAATCACTCGGGTCCTTCCTGCGAATTCAGTTTCGTTTTTGTGAAATGTATAATTGGCAATAGGAAAAGAATGCCATTTATATTTGCTCATTTGTGTCCTTTTTATTCCAATCATTTTCAGATGTTTGACGAATTCTTTCGTCTCTTCCATCAAATGTTTTCTTTATTATCATTGTGACAAATACCGCTTCTTTCTTCTCAAAACATTTTTAAACTTTAAGTATTAAATTCTGATTCATACCTATTTCATTCTCCATTAACTATTTAATACACAGCTAAGTTTGATCGAATCCGGTAGCTCCGGTAGCTCACCGGATATCGATTGTTTCAGGAATTCCAATATTTGATGCAATTCTTGCCCATCTTTGTCATGACTCCATTCACTCCTTTTTCTTTTTTCCAGAATTTCTGAACGAAAACCGTCAAATCATCAAGTGAACTACAAATTTTACACTCGTCCTTCTGGTACAGTCATCATTAGATGAAGGAACTTTTGAAGACGAGTTCTAATTATATTTGTCTAATGATGACCCACATAGAGTCTAAGGATTGCATGAAACTCGAAAAAAGGTTATGCCCCTACTGATATCAGTGTTACTATCGATACCGTCTCTTAGGTCTCTTACTAAACACAAACTAATGAGAAGATGGACAGTCTAGCAACTAAAGGTAAGTGCAGTAACTGAAGGAAGTATTGCATCTTTCCACTTTTTTTTGGAACATATTCCTCAGCAAAGAATCATGTTAGGATGACATTTGTATTTTTATGACCTGAACTGTTGTCATAATAACTTATCACATTTACTAAATTGTAATTTAACTAGATAGAGATATTGCAAGGAACCGATTGACAAATGTTGGTTTACTAATGATACAATATCCTTTTTACGCATCCCACTCTTAAGGTGAAATAAACGCAGTGGACATTGACGACTGACCACTGTTAGTTCCATACCAAATGGGAATAATTGTAGGTTGAATGTCCAAAGGCATCTGCTGTCCATCCATTAGCTCCGTCATATGTGAGTGACCTCGGGGTCAAGTAAGTCAGCTGCATACTACGGCATTCTTATAGATTTTCTTCCTACAATACAGAATTGGTTTCTTCCAACAAGGAAAAATGTTTTTTTTCAAAATTTTATTCCCCCCACAAATTTAATTTTACACAGTAAATCAGGTAAATACTATTTGTCGATATTCACCCATTGCTATATGCTGCGCGACTGAGGTCACTCAGTGGATATAAGTGTCATTTGTTGCACATCCCTCAACTTAATTAAATGTCACTTGTTGCACATCCCTTAATTAAGTAAGTGTCTGTTCATGCACTAGCTATGTCCTGTTCGAATAACCCCAAGGTCATGCAACTCAGTTACACATCAGGTAAATGCCGTTTATTTTTCCATCGATTCACTGTGTGCTGCATGAAACTTCAGGGTCAAACTCAGTTGCACATTATTCAACTTAGCTAAATGTCATTTATTGATTTACATACATT